ATTATTATAACCTGAAAGGCACAAAAATGTAAGGACTCTCATCTTAAGATGGGGTTCTAAAAGTCGCTTTTATTCTGCACCTCTTGAATGCCACTTCTTAACAAAGTAACAGCTGCCCATCATTTTAGTCCATGGTGGTTTTATTATATTGGGTTGGATTTTACCAGCCTTTTCTCATGAACTCATCTGATATCTCCCACATCTCCTGTTGTAGCCACCAATCTGTATGGCTTTTGTCCATGCAGGTTCTACAAACTCCAGCATAACCTTTCATGGTCAAAAGGGCCCCTCTTTAGCAATAGGATCCAGCCCACTGTAGACTCACTATAATCTCATGAAATGACTGCGTTATTATTATGGATGGGGAGCCAAGGCTGAGAGACGGGACGGAGGAAGGGGATTGACGGGGTCTTTTTAGAACCAGGCCTCTGGGTGTGAAGGTTGCTCCCTTTTGGACCTTAGAACTGAAGTGGAATGTTTTGCTTATGAGCTGGAACAATTGCTTATCTTTAGAAGTTTATGGATGCTCTTTATCTGGCTTTCATCTTTGCTTTGGCAATTTATCCACCAGCTGGGAGTGATCCAAATTCATGATTACTCATCCCATATAATTGCTATATGCTCCTATGATTACATCATGTTTCCATTTGTGCTCTTAAGGATTACTGTTTGGATGTGAGGCAGACAGTAACAGAGATTGGGCCCTCTCTGTGGTGGCACCTCATCTATGGAATTCCGTCCCTGCATCTGTTCTGTGTTTGTTAGCCTCACAAATTTTAAGCGTTTACTCAGGCATTTAATGAGGTACAATGATTATTTGCTGGATCTGCATACCTGAACAGGTCAAGAGCCCTATGTTTTCTACGGGGGCCCAGTTCAGGGATTGTCATAATCAACATGTGGCTGACTCTTTATTATCAGATGTAGCAATGATGTCACAGCCTGCATCCCTTGCACATCATGCCCTCTATAGTTTTTTTCTCCTCTACATGCATGTAATACATCTGTCAACAGAGGACACACTTCCTATATCTGATGAAGCGGGATCCAATGAGGAAGATGTCATGGATGCACCTCATGTATAGCACAGCCATTTGAGAACAGGAGGGAAGGAAATGCTGCTCTAAGTCAGGGCAGAAGCAGAAAAGAACATGTCTCATTCAGTCATAAAATGCAAATTACAGGCTAGTGCACCCTCCGTTTGCATCAGGGCCATGCAGGAAAGGAAGAAGGAGTTTTAACACTTCAGCCTTGCCTTTGTTTCACTATTTGAAACCAGGCTTCCTGCTTTCTCATTAGCATTTTAAAGGGGAAATGTGTATTTAAAACACTAATAGCAGAGTGGTGGTGGCAGTTTCGAATAGTGAAACTGAACTGAGGTTGAAGGGTTAATCCCCTGTCCCTTCCCTGCATAGTTTACAGGAAAACTAAGGATACACAGACTTGCAATTTGTATTTTATGGAATGAGATGCATGATATTCTTCTCATGTGTTTGGGTCCCTCATCAACCAAGGCAAAGGTGGATAGTGAACACACATATCTAAGTCTACAGTTATCTACTGGAACCCCAGTACCTTTTAAGGTGTTCCTTATGTTATGTTTTATGAAGAATCTTTACAGATGGCCACTTATTTCACCCTCTGTTTTGTGACTCAAGCTTCAGGTATATGGGCATTCTCAGATCCATACCCAAAGTTGGTAATCTCCCCAGATCTCTGTTGCCCAGAAGAAGAAGAGTAGAACAGAGACATGAACACTGGCATATTAAGAAGTGTCAGCAAAGTATTAGACTGGGGAAATTAAGGGCTTTTTCAAAGAGGCTCTTATAGTCTGATTATTCTCTGTGGTTTCAAATAGTTTGGTTTTCCCCTGAAGCATGCACACTTGAAGGAATGTTATCTCTAATGGATTTTAAAAAAATTAAAATTCATATTTTTCTACCCATGTTTTCAACATTTATTTATTTATGGTGATTGATCTATCAGTCCAGTCATCCACCTAAGCATCAGATGATGCTGGATATAAGTAACTAGTTTCAGTGGAATCTCTGATGTGTAGCAGGGCCAAAACTCTCACTATTCAAATGACAAATAAATGAAGGATTACAAGTGAACGAATTGCAATTTGTGAATTATAAATCATCAAAATATTTAGACGTTCCCTTTGTCAACATGGCATGTGACAAAAATTCAGGATTCAAAACTGCTCTTTCCAGATTCATATTTGACTAATGTGAACTTTGCCTTGAACATTCACTTGCTCTCTGAATGAAGTTTCCCAATGAACTCATTAGTCACTCAACGTCTCCTGAGAGGCTTCCAGCAACCTCCCCCCCCATTGTGGCCATTCTAGAAGACAGAACATAGAAAGTAAAAGTTATTTTATGGAATTCTCTGCCACAGGATATAGAGATGGCCACTAACAATTCACTGAGGCACTGATAGTAATTAGTTATGATGATTAAATTGAACATCCATGTTCAGAAGCAGTGTGCTTGAATAATTGTGGTTGCTGGGGAGAAATAATATATGAAGGCTTTTGCCTCTGTGCTCTGCTTGTTGGCTTGGAAGGAGCATTTCTTTGGCCACTGCGTTAAACAGGATGCCGGACTAGGTGGCACTTTGGTCTGGTACAGCATGGCTGTGCTTGTATTTTTATCAAATAGGTCAGGTTGTGCTAACAGCATTTCAGAATGTTAGCATTTTTTAAATAAAATATTGCCATTCAGCTAGCATTTCCATTTGCACTCCAGCTTCATATAAAGCAAAACTATAGCTTCTGTATGGGTCTCTCTTAGTATATTCCCCCGCCCCCAATATCTCAATTAGAAGCAAAAAAAAAAAGGGGGGGGAAGAATGGTGATAATTTCCTAGAAATGTAAACATCCGATTCTCTCCCTCCCTTTCTCCCCAGAGTAAACACACTTGCCACAAGGAATTAAAAGCAGAGAGGAAAGGATGACTACAGTCTGACGACAGGATGTCAACAAAGTGTGACCTTTCATTTCTCCTGGCTCCTTGGCCTTAATCTGAAACACCAATTACACCCTCTGTGGACGATAAATATATAAAAAAGAAAGGTTCTTCTTTAGCTGACTTCCATGACATGCTGAACTGTCATTTCCTCTTGCTTCTAATTTTAACTTGCAGAGTAAAGCAGGGTTATGTGTTTTGGACTTGCTTCCCTTTTGCCTGTGGTGTGTTATAATCCAAAACTCCCCCCCCCCCCCGGGTTTTCTCTCTTTCAGAATGGACAGGGACTAGTCCATACAGAGCTTTCATCACTCTGGAAATGGAACCATGACAGACACTTATGAGACTTATAAATAGAACAGGTCAAAAATGCACCGAATCAGTCAACTACAGCACTGCCCACGGTCCCCTTTCTCCCATAATGCCTCCCCTTAGAACTATGGTTGGTCAAGTTTTTAAACTGAGCCAGCAACAATAGCAGGGCCACAATCAGAGGCCAGCATAATGGGGCAGTAGTCAAGTCCCCAGGGGCTTTGGAAGGGCTCACCACTGGGAAGCAGCAGCACTCTCTCTTTCTCTCTGGGTGGTGGCGGAGGTGGCCTTGGTCCCTACTGGAACAGCAGATCCCTTGACATGATTGAACCCAACAACCCCTCCTAGGGTTGCCATCTCCCAGAATTAAAGCTGATCTCCATACTACAGAGATCAGTTCCCCTGGAGAAAATTGTTGCTTTGGAGGGTGGACTCTGTGGCATTACACCCCACTGATATCCCTCCCCTCCCCTCCCTAGGCTCCAGTCCCAACCCTCCAGGAATTTTTCAACCCAGAGTTGGCAACCTAATTCTTCCTTTCGCATGCAAGCTACACCAGAGGTCAAGGCAATGGCTCATCCTCTTCCTCTGCCAGGGAGGAAATGCTTTCCCATTGGCCAGGCTCTTACTGAGGGCCTTGTGGCATTTTCTCATATTGCTTTAATTCAAATAAGAATACAGTAGTCACATGGGAAGGGCAGGCCAACCAGGACTATGAGCTGATGGGAAGAAACTATGCAGCTGGCCTCAGTTTTGTGGTTCCTGGCAGTATTCAAGGGCTTGAAAGCTTCTGAGGTCCTTGGAAGTCTAAGGCAGAAAGCGACAAAAGAGCCCTATAGTTTGTATTTAGATGGAGTGCAGGAAGTGTTAGGCAAACACAGATTGAAACTACAGGTGACGCTAGACTTTCATTATCAGAAATTACCTGTGATTTGACCCTAAAGAGCAGCTACCCTGACTTTGCCTCCTGATACTGTTTCTGACATTCCACCTCCCCCACTCCTGGAACAAGATGTCAGTACTAGGGGCTAAATGGGCTGTGACAGAAAGTGGGAATCGGTAGAAACTGCCACCCCCTCTTAAGAACTTAAGCGTCCGTAAGTCTTCAGAATGACATTTTTGGATATGGGCCACTCACTCCTTTGGCGGTGACACGCCTTCTTATGGAACTGTCCCTAGAGACTAATCAAGTACACTCTGCCCTGTTTGAAGGAACTGGTGAAGGCCTTTTTATTTGGGAGGGAGTCACTGAAACGTTTTCTAAACCTGTGATGTGGTCCTTTCCAGCTGATACATTTTTATGATATGTTACTGTTTTAAGTGGTCTCTCTCTCTTTTTACCTATTTTAGGAAGTGTCTATTGATTGATAGGGCCTTCTTAATGCAGTATCGTGTTCCAAATAATTCCCCAGCCCTGACCTAGTTAGCCCAGGCAAGCCCAGTCTCATCAGTTCTCGGAAGCTAAGCAGGGTTGACTCTGGCAAGTGCTTGGATGGGAGACCTCCTTGATAATACCAGCAGTCAGGAGGACAGGGGCAGGCTTTACTCAGCCACCTCTCTGAATATCCTCCAGGCCCCCAGTAGGGGTCCGTCACCAGAGGTCGCCATGACTTCTAGGTGTGCACACACACACTCACACGTAAAAAATACAAAAGAAAAGAATTCTCCAGATAAACAATAAATAAACACATATTGATAGCTGCAGTGATGTTGAGTAATCCTGCCAGGTTCAGCAAGAAGTAGTTTATTTTCTAACCCTGCAGTGTAAGAAATAGAGGAAACCGCAGTAGAATGCTATTGTCTTCTTTTTTTTAATGTGGCTGCTAAGATATATAACAGCTGTTTGTTTAAAGGAGGAAAGCATGCATGCACAAATAGCAAGAGCTACAGTTCGTTATGCTGGGAAAGGACACGAGGAAGGGAAGTGCCAGGTAAGACAGCAGAGATGGGCAGTTCGGTACTATTGGAATCCCGAAAGTAAGTTGTGAGGCTCCTGGACAGCAGGGGTGCAGCCCTGATGAAGCCTCAGTCTTTTCAACGGTACCATTGTATGGGATATGCAAGACTAGGCATGCCTGAAATTTTGGCAGGGCTGCTATGGTAGATCTGGAAGACCTTCAAGTCTCTACTCCCCGTTATACTTCACTCCCCATGTCTACTGTGATGTTCTACAGGCTGCTCTGGACTATTTCCTCTTTTGACTTAATCAGTTTCACCAAGTCCAACTATTACTATTTTAGTACAATGAGGGTTAAGTTACACATGTGGGAGATCTGTGACTGACAGTACAATCCTGTGCAAAGATACTCCAGTCTACACTTCTTAGGTTCAATGGCCTTAGACTAACTCTGCATAGGATTGCAGTATGGAGCTCTCAACTCCGCCCCCCCCCCCAAGACCAGAAAAATATGGGGAAAGAGGGAAGGGAGGGTCAGTTGGATCAGGGCTGTGGTGATAGTGGACAGGAGGAAGCTTAATCCTTTCTTTCTTCTTGCATCAGTCCACCATTAACATCACACATACCCTTTCATACACAGCCACATGCTTTTACTGAAGAAACAATGCATGGAGAAGGGTTAACCCCTTCTGCCCTTGGTGCTGTGGCCCTGATCTAGTTCACCGGTCCCCCAGTCCTCTAAGGCTGCTTTTTCCGTTTCAAGAGAATACTGTCACGGGATCTGTATAACATGTAGCTTGCGAGGAATATGTACAAATAGCATTTTCGAGCGACACAGTCTTTGATGTGAGCAACTTTACCACAGTAAAGTGGAAATTTTGCAGTTATAATTTTAGGAGAAGACCCATCCCTGGCAATTTTAGCTGGTACAGGGGAGAGGGTGCGCATGTTAGAATGTACGTTACACACGTGTGGTGGGACTGTTGTCTTCATGCATCTATGTTAATAGGAAAAGAATTTGAGGCACACATTTAGGCCTATACAGCAATTATGAGCTGTTGAATTTCTGGACAGCTAGAGCTGCCGACACCATCTTCTTCACACCATGGGGCAGTTTTGCAAAAAGAAGCTAGAATCTTACGGAGTGTAAATCAAAGTGAGCAATATGCAGCTTTCTGAAGTGGCAAGTTAGTGCTGAATGAAGAGAGACGATTGGTGGTGGAGAGGATGCAAGCCAAAGTGTTTCATAGCAGAGGACTTTATTGCCGCTGCTAGTCTCCGTAGTGCTCAGTGAGGAAATGGGTTGAAGCCACAGGTGCTCCCAGCTGAAAACGATCCACAAAGCTCTCCATGTTCCAGGAACCTGTAATTAGAGCAAGAGAAGCAACTAAGATTCTGGCTCTTAGGACTGCTGTGACCCACGATTTTGGCTAGAACCCTAAGGGCACTTTTCTGGAAGTAAGCCCTACTGAATAAGAGGAGACTTACTCATCACAGATAGATTGACCCTAAAGACCACGGGCTTTTGAGAATGTGGTTGTAGCTGCAAGACTGGCATACTGATACAAAGGCAATGCATTCTATGGCCTCTGAGCTTGATAGTGAAGGGATGCTTCCTGTGGTCTTCGAGAAGTTTTGACAATGGAGGTTACCAAGAGAGATGTCTAAAGGACAAAAAAGAACTCCAGGAGGGAAGAGATTCAGAATTTTAGGGATAAAGGCTTGCATTCTGCCAGGATATGTATAGATGCTCCCACAAACATGCTTTTGGGAGACAACCCAACCCTTTAAAGGCTAGTTAATATGCTGCCCTTTCAACATCTACATCTTTTGGAATATGCCAGACTTCTGAACTATGTGTTCACACTCTGAAAGGTATCTGGGACATGCAAGGCTGAAGAGGATACCAGAGAGATATTCCCATTTGATTTTAATTGTGGTTGAGGACACACACATCAAGAAATATTGGAAACTCTTTACCAGATTATAACATCAATGGAGATTTTTGTGTGAGTGCAGTTATCATGAGAAGGTATCCATGGCCTGCTTTATTAATTCACATCATATCACACAAAATATATAAGATCGCAACACCTGGTCAGGATCGATGTATTATATTTCTGAATGTGTGTCCTTTTGAAACAGTGTTATTGACCACTGAGGAAGACCCTAGAGGCTGAAATGCGTACGGTCTTGTGTTGGTCATTTGACATGTTCATCAACTTTGTATGTGACATAATTACAGCTTATGTAAAGCTTATTCTGATTTTTAATGTAGTCTGATATTCAGGCCCTTTATGTTTTTAACTTTGCCATTGAGGATTCCAGAGAGCCAGTCTAACTTTTGTGGATTATCTGTGGCTACAGATTGAGGCTGCATCCACAGGGTAACAATTCCTGTTGTGGATTCATTTCTACTGTGAATACAAGGGCATTCATAGCAGCAACAAAGCATCCATGCAGATGTCTCCCCTGTACTTTCCTCCATCATCCCTTTATACCTGATATCCCCCCCCACCCTGCATCACTGGTGGACATATTGCAGGCTTTTTAGTAATTAGTAGTTAGCAGCAAAAGGAAATCTGGCCACCAAAGTACGTGGTGGCTAGACACCATAAAAGTCAACACCAGCCTGAGCATGGAACAACTCAAAGAAACAGTACAAGAGTGGAAAACATGGAGAAAGCTGGCCCACAGAACTGCCAAGAGTCGAATATGACTGAATGGCTAACAACAAGAACAAGTTGCTATAATACTATAATGATATAGCAACTAGGGGTGTGCAACCCATCCCCGGTATTTTTCGGGTTCGGGTATACTGAACCTGAAAAATATTGGCATTTCCTGATATTCCTGAATACCAATACCAGTATGGTATTCTGATTTGGGAAATATTCATGAAACCTGAAATTTCTTTGCTCCATTATACCCTATGGGGACCATTGAACCAGGGGCATCTGGGGCTTGCCCCCCCCCTGTATTTTGAGGTAGAGGCACCAGCAGCCCCCTCCCCAGGTTTCCAAAAGACTGGACCAGTACAAGTCTATGGGCCCCCAAAGACAGTGCCATCTAGTGGCACAACATGGGAAAATGATGGGTGCATGGAGATGACACAGTAAAATGACACCAATGTGGAAGTTTGAAAATGTGCAACTTCCCATACACACGGCATGAAAACCCACTTGGACCTCAGTCTATCAGGAAAGATCATAGAGAAACACAGCTGGGAAAGATCAGAACAAACCAGGTGGAACCATTGAAAGCAGATAATTGATGTCACATCGGTGCTCTGAAAGACACCATTCCAGTTTGACAGCCAAAGTAGACCAGATCTTCTGAGAGGTAGGTGGTAGCCACTGACATAAGACAGTCAGGTAGTACTATAAGAGGAAATTGAAAGCCTGACAGCTATATTGGTATAAACTTGTAGTACGGAAGTGCCCACAGAGTTCCTTGCAGTGAACCAGTTCTTATGACAGAGCTATGTTCACCCATGTTCAAGCCAATGGGACTATTTTACAAAGCAAAACTGGAAAGCGGCAAGTCTGACACAATATAGCAAGGGATGGGCATTAGCTCATCTCAGTGCCAAGAGTCTTGATGAGTTCATCATTTTGGAACCAAACACATTTCAGTTTTCAGAATATATGTTGTGTTGTGTTTTTGTTTAAAATCTAACTTGCTCACACATGCTATTTGCTCCCTATGGCCTTTTGAAGACAAGCTTCTCACTGTTTCTCACCAGCCCACCCCAAGGGTTCCTGGAAATCCCCAGCCACCCGCAGTGGTACACGCTTGTGGGGAGAGTGACAGATCTTCTTGCGGCTCCTCCCATCAATGATTTTGTGAAACAAGGAAGTGTGATTAATCCCTGATGTTACTGCTGCACAGCCTATGGGGGAGCTGTATGGTCCCTCCTTTCTATTCATCCCTAACCATGCTAAAGAGAAACCCAGGTAAATTTAAAATACAACCCACCTTTTCCCAGATGAAAATAGGGATATGTGTTTCGAATAGCTTAATTCTCATACCAGGAATCACTGTCAGTCCCCTCTCCCCATTGGCACTATAGCACATTGCTTCAAGAGTTTGTTCTGCCTGTTGCATACTGTACTCATTTGCTCTGTAATATCCTGTCCTCCACTGATTTTAAAGCCAAAACATAAAAATAAACTTAACAATTGTTCTTTTGATACTAGAACAAATGGCAGAAAACCTGCCTTTCAATGAGTAACCAGCTTCTCAAGCTATCACAGCAGCTGCAATGTGTGAAATGGCAGGCTGAGCACTGCATGGGGCCTTAGTGTTCATGTGTGCTCATTTACACAGATGTGGACAAGAGACACATGCAATCCCTCTTTCATGCATTTAAATTCCAAAAACCCAGTGGAAGGAGCTAAGCCCTAAAGAATGACAATTGTAGTAGCTCACATTCACAAATATTCAAGAAGACAAGCCTAGGGACAAAGTAGGAACAGTGACTTACCATGGGCAGGGACCAGAAAATAGGAACTGTCCCTGGTAAATAGGGAAAGTTAGAGCATGTGGCTTAACTATAGTTCTAAAGCACTGATCAGGCCACATCAGTGTTGCTTCTGTTTTCCCTGGAACTGACATTCAATCATTTGCTCAGTTATAACAGAGAATCCATATGTCACTTGCCAAACGGCTGCATTCCACTGAATTCCCCTTGATCCTCCGTTCTTTTTAAAGACCAGGTTGTGATTTGTTCTGACTTTTCTGGGTGGAAATGAAGCAATACATTTCTGTATGGTCTGGTGAAATGTGTACTGAATCACCTAGTTTTCACTGGCATGTCTCTACCCTCGTTACAGTTCATGTACATGTGTGTGCATGTAGATACTATCTTTTGCTGTCTATATTGTCCTAATATCTAATTTCTGCATAATGTAACATACTGCGTTTCAGCTTTCTCTCAAGTTTCTGATTCATTTCAAAGTTCTGCAATCCCAATCTTACTACATTGCTTATTGCATGTCCCATCTGATTACACTGTGTAATCTGCCCTGGGACTATATAAATAATGTAATTGTGTGTGTGTGTGTGTGTGTGTGTATAATCTTGTTGAAACACTAAAATGTTGAGCTCAAGGGGAATCAGTGCCTTGACCCTGTTGCACTGAGCTGTGCAGTGACTTGTGAGTGAGTTATGGGCTCAGCACAAACCAGAGGGCATGCTGTGCCCCTGCGACCACAGAAGTACTGCCATGAAAAAGAACAAAAATGTTCCTTTCCCCCATTATTTTTCAACTGCTGGCGAAGTCTTTTAGACTTTCACTGTAGAGATGGGTGTTGCAGATATCTTAATGGGAATATTTCTCTGTTTTATGATTGCATAAGCCATTTTTTGGGCCATGCTCCAAAATGGCTAACAGTACAAGAGATAAAACAGCAACCCCAAGATTAAAAAGACTGGAAAATGTAGCATTACTAGAGCTCTATTAGTCGAATCATGGCTGTACCAGTGTTTCCATATCATCATGGAACAGTGATGCCTCTGCAGGGTTGAAGGGGCTACTGTGAAAAGGCCCTGCACATCTGCCCTGCCCACTTCATTTGCACTAGAATTCTCTGCTAAACCTTCAAGATGCTATCTCAGACTGGCTGCATGGGAACAAGAGGAAAAAGAATGGTTTCTAAAAGCCCCTCCCATCCCACAAACCTCTGATCCCATGATCTGAGAATCATAAGCAAATACCAATCCACCAAGAAACAAGAAGTGAAATTGTCTCTAGCCCTAGAGAAATTTCTTGCATGCTGATGAGTTTGCAAGCAGAAGCTCCAACCCTTACCTGCTGCATAAACTCACACTGCCCTGAATGCAGTGGTGGTGCATTTATTGTGTTGTGTCTTAGTGCCAGAAGGATATCATGTTTTGGCCCTGAAATGCATGTAGTGGGTTCTGTTAGGTTCAAACTACAGCTGACATTCTACTTTCCTTCCTTCCTTCCTTCCTTCCTTCCTTCCTTCCTTCCTTCCTTCCTTCCTTCCTTCCTTCCTTCCTTCCTTCCTAACATGTATGAAATGCGTACCTACACTATATGAGAGGGGGCATGTCCTGCTCTCATCGCCAATACTAGCATTACCAGAGGCAGTGGGCGGAGCTCTTGTAGTGATAGGAGCAGTGCAGGGGAATGTAGTATTGGTGATGAGAGGTATTACAGACAGGGTTGCAATTTTTCTTTTCTCTTTCAAAGCAGTCCTCCTCCTCTGATTTATTATTGAATTTCTGGATGACTTTTTTGCCCCCCCCCAAAGACCTTCAAAGCAATTTCCCTCAACAGTCCACAGAATACGTCCAGCAACTTAGAGTGTTCAAAGGCGATATCATAGACTATCTCAG